CGTGTGCTCTTCCGATCTCTCATTTGTAAAAGATTTAATACCATTTGTTGGCGAATATGCGCTAAATACAATATGCGGTATTATATTTTATTCACAATTATACAGAGTATATAGAATTTTATTTGGAATGAAGAATAATATAAAATATGTTTGCAGAAACTGTCATGGGCATTTCTTTACGAAAAATTGATGGGAATCAACAACGAAAATATCGAGAAGCGATTCATCAGATGGAGAAATTATTTATATATAGGTAATTTAAAGATATAATAAATAAATACGAAATATCAATAGGATGTATTAAGATATATATTAACATTATATAATTATATTAGAACAAAAAATAATATTTTATAATAATATTTTATAATAATACTACTTAAAAACGTCATTTAATAATTAACAATAACAATTAAAATTATGTATTGCGTGTGATCCATCATAACTATTATATTAATCAAGCGACGCGGTAGCGGCGCGATGCCAAGTATATAAGTAAAAATCGGGTGATGACCTGTGAATATACGGCACTTTTAATATACGGCATTTTTGGTTTAGGAAGGATGTAACGTACGATACTTTTTTATATACTTGGCGTAATCTTTTTCTTTTTTTAAAAAAGTATTTTGGTAGAATTATACTTAAACATAATTATACTAAATAATGCTTAAAATTTTTAAAATGTTATACCAAAACATAAAGAAGCAATGCACACGTTTAAATATAATTATATGTCACTTTTATGTTATTTATATAAGAATATATAATTAAAAAATTACAAAATTCAGATCCTATATATCTTCTTAGCACAATAATTACTTTATATTACCTATTCTCTTTTTATGTGGTTAAAATGTTAGCAGTGGTAATTAAAAAAGATTTTACAAAATAATAATCTATCCATTTTTGTTGAATAACAGTCATTCGGTAATTATGATTTAGATTATTCAGGCCCTGGCTGTATAACGATTGGATATTTTCATTGGTATCAAAAGGCAGAGAGCAAAGAGAAGTTATAAAAATATTACATGGATTTACTGATCAAGTACGTAAAAAATAATTATTTACTTATTATTAGTTACTGAATATTATATTTGAATGTAACCTATTTGAAAAAGTTATAATATTCCATAACTGTATAAGAATATTACAAGATAGTTCATAAATATTGTCAAAATGTTAAAATATTGTGTGAATAAAAAAAAGAATTAATGTTTATGTTGTACTGATATAGATTATTGAGGAAAGGAAACTTTATCATGAACGCACCAATAATCGATTCTTAAAAAACTTTGATAATTTTACAAAGGCAGAAGCAGATGATGCAGAAATGATTGGAAGTAGGTAATCGAAAGTTACATTTTTAATTTGGACTGTGTACCATCATACATATGTGGTACATATATTATCTTAATTTATTTTTTATAATTTATTAATAATAATAAGTTAAATTTTAAACTTAGTCAACGTTATATAATAATAAAACAAAAGAAGTAGAGTATTAGATTTATACTGACATGATACTTATACTTCGATTTAGTAAAAAGAAAACAACTAGCATTGTTGGATCTTCTAATAGCAGCCTTTCAAGAAGGTACTCTAACTAATCTAAATATCAAAGAGGAAGTTGATACTTTTATGTTTGGGGTATGCATTTATAAAAATTATCTTCGTTCTTTTATACATTATTTAGATATACATATATATCGAAGCATTTCAATCATATCATGTGTGATTATAGGGCCATGACACTTCAACGATTGCTATAAGCTTTTTGTTAGCACTATTAGCTGAGCATAAAGACATTCAGGTATTTATTATTAAATTAGCACCATCCTTAAAAGAAACAATTTATTAATTTCAGTAATTTAAGAAGTTATTATAGTTGAAAAATATTAATTTTTTGTTTTTCAAATAGAAACCGTGGAAAAAAGATATTAAAAATGTAAAAAAAATCGCCAAGTATATTTTTTAACATTTTTATACAAAATGTTTTTATAAATAACACCTCGAAAAAAAATGATCTTGCCCTTTATGTATGTTGTCAAGGGCATGACCCCAAGTAACCTTCAGGTGGTTTTAGCCGCGGAGCCCCTCCCCCCGCCTATTACATAGATAATATCTATTGTAAAAACAAAAAATACGTGCTTTAATGCTTCTATTTTTTTAGTAAGACGAAGATTTAATAGATATTCAATTTAATATACATTCTACCTTGCGCAGGGGTCTGTCTAATCTTTTCGATATCTATTATTTTTGGTATATTGTAGACTCATTTATTTAGTAAGGCAAAGATTTAATAAATATTTTTACCTTGCTTAGGGGTCTGTCTAATCTTTTCAATCGTTCGTTTAATTATATTATTATCACAAATGTAAGCAACTAACTC